TTGCTTGCCCCTGTCCGGCCCTGGACGCCCGGATTAAATATTCTGATACTGTACATTTCTTCGTTTTGTCTTTCTGAATAACATACTGAAATATGTAAGTGGCAGGATCCCTAATAAGAAAGTTATAAAATATTGCTGGCCCCTGTCCGGCCCTGGACGCCCGGATTAAATATTCTGATACTGTACATTTCTTCGTTTTGTCGTTCTGAATAACATACTGAAATATGTAAGTGGCAGGATCCCTAATAAGAAAGTTATAAAATATTGCTGGCCCCTGTCCGGCCCTGGACGCCCGGATTAAATATTCTGATACAGTACATTTCTTCGTTTTGTCTTTCTGAATAACATACTGAAATATGTAAGTGGCAGGATCTCTAATAAGAAAGTTATAAAATATTGCTGGCCCCTGTCCGGCCCTGGACGCCCGGATAAAATATTCTGATACTGTACATTTCTTCGTTTCGTCTTTCCGAATGACATACTGAAATATGTAAATGGCAGGATCCCTAATAAGAAAGTTATAAAATATTGCTGGCCCCTGTCCGGCCCTGGACGCCCGGATAAAATATTCTGATACTGTACATTTCTTCGTTTCGTCTTTCCGAATGACATACTGAAATATGTAAATGGCAGGATCCCTAATAAGAAAGTTATAAAATATTGCTGGCCCCTGTCCGGCCCTGGACGCCCGGATAAAATATTCTGATACTGTACATTTCTTCGTTTCGTCTTTCCGAATGACATACTGAAATATGTAAGTGGCAGGATCCCTAATAAGGGAGTTATAAATTATTGCTGGCCCCTGTCCGGCCCTGGAATCCCGGATAAAATATTCTGATACTGTACATTTCTTCGTTTCGTTTTTCCGAATGACATACTGAAATATGTAAGTGGCAGGATCCCTAATAAGAAAGTTATAAAATATTGCTGGCCCCTGTCCGGCCCTGGACGCCCGGATAAAATATTCTGATACTATACATTTCTTCGTTTCGTCTTTCCGAATGACATACTGAAATATGTAAGTGGCAGGATCCCTAATAAGGGAGTTATAAATTATTGCTGGCCCCTGTCCGGCCCTGGACGCCCGTATTAAATATTCTGATACTGTACATTTCTTCGTTTTGTCTTTCTGAATAACATACTGAAATATGTAAGTGGCAGGATCCCTAATAAGAAAGTTATAAAATATTGCTGGCCCCTGTCCGGCCCTGGACGCCCGGATAAAATATTCTGATACTGTACATTTCTTCGTTTCGTCTTTCCGAATGACATACTGAAATATGTAAGTGGCAGGATCCCTAATAAGGGAGTTATAAATTATTGCTGGCCCCTGTCCGGCCCTGGACGCCCGGATTAAATATTCTGATACTGTACATTTCTTCGTTTTGTCTTTCTGAATAACATACTGAAATATGTAAGTGGCAGGATCCCTAATAAGAGAGTTATAAAATATTGTTGGCCCCTGTCCGGCCCTGGACGCCCGGATTGAATATTCTGATATCGTACATTTCTTCGTTTTGTCTTTCTGAATAACATACTGAAATATGTAAGTGGCAGGATCCCTAATAAGAAAGTTATAAAATATTGCTGGCCCCTGTCCGGCCCTGGACGCCCGGATAAAATATTCTGATACTGTACATTTCTTCGTTTCGTCTTTCCGAATGACATACTGAAATATGTAAGTGGCAGGATCCCTAATAAGGGAGTTATAAATTATTGCTGGCCCCTGTCCGGCCCTGGACGCCCGGATTAAATATTCTGATACTGAACATTTCTTCGTTTTGTCTTTCTGAATGACATACTGAAATATGTAAGTGGCAGGATCCCTAATAAGAGAGTTATAAAATATTGCTGGCCCCTGTCCGGCCCTGGACGCCCGGATTAAATATTCTGATACCGTACATTTCTTCGTTTTGTCTTTCTGAATAACATACTGAAATATGTAAGTGGCAGGATCCCTAATAAGGAAGTTATAAAATATTGCTGGCTCCTGTCCGGCCCTGGACGCCCGGATAAAATATTCTGATACTGTACATTTCTTCGTTTTGTCGTTCTGAATAACATACTGAAATATGTAAGTGGCAGGATCTCTAATAAGGGAGTTATAAATTATTGCTGGCCCCTGTCCGGCCCTGGACGCCCGGATTAAATATTCTGATACTGTACATTTCTTCGTTTTGTCTTTCTGAATGACATACTGAAATATGTAAGTGGCAGGATCCCTAATAAGAGAGTTATAAAATATTGCTGGCCCCTGTCCGGCCCTGGACGCCCGGATTAAATATTCTGATACCGTACATTTCTTCGTTTTGTCTTTCTGAATAACATACTGAAATATGTAAGTGGCAGGATCCCTAATAAGAAAGTTATAAAATATTGCTGGCTCCTGTCCGGCCCTGGACGCTCGGATTAAATATTCTGATACTGTACATTTCTTCGTTTTGTCTTTCTGAATAACATACTGAAATATGTAAGTGGCAGGATCCCTAATAAGAAAGTTATAAAATATTGCTGGCCCCTGTCCGGCCCTGGACGCCCGGATTGAATATTCTGATACTGTACATTTCTTCGTTTTGTCTTTCTGAATAACATACTGAAATATGTAAGTGGCAGGATCCCTAATAAGAAAGTTATAAAATATTGCTGGCCCCTGTCCGGCCCTGGACGCCCGGATTAAATATTCTGATACTGTACATTTCTTCGTTTTGTCGTTCTGAATAACATACTGAAATATGTAAGTGGCAGGATCCCTAATAAGAAAGTTATAAAATATTGCTGGCCCCTGTCCGGCCCTGGACGCCCGGATTAAATATTCTGATACTGTACATTTTTTCGTTTTGTCTTTCCGAATGACATACGGAAATATGTAAGTGGCAGGATCCATAATAAGAAAGTTATTAAATATTGCTGGCTCCTGTCCGGCCCTGGACGCCCGGATTAAATATTCTGATACTGTACATTTCTTCGTTTTATCTTTCTGAATAACATACTGAAATATGTAAGTGGCAGGATCCCTAATAAGAAAGTTATAAAATATTGCTGGCCCCTGTCCGGCCCTGGACGCCCGGATTAAATATTCTGATACTGTACATTTCTTCGTTTTGTCTTTCTGAATAACATACTGAAATATGTAAGTGGCAGGATCCCCAATAAGAAAGTTATAAAATATTGCTGGCCCCTGTCCGGCCCTGGACGCCCGGATTAAATATTCTGATACAGTACATTTCTTCGTTTTGTCTTTCTGAATAACATACTGAAATATGTAAGTGGCAGGATCCCTAATAAGAAAGTTATAAAATATTGCTGGCCCCTGTCCGGCCCTGGACGCCCGGATTAAATATTCTGATACAGTACATTTCTTCGTTTTGTCTTTCTGAATAACATACTGAAATATGTAAGTGGCAGGATCCCTAATAAGAAAGTTATAAAATATTGCTGGCCCCTGTCCGGCCCTGGACGCCCGGATTAAATATTCTGATACTGTACATTTCTTCGTTTTGTCTTTCTGAATAACATACTGAAATATGTAAGTGGCAGGATCCCCAATAAGAAAGTTATAAAATATTGCTGGCCCCTGTCCGGCCCTGGACATCCGGAAAATCTGTTTCGATTAGTACATTTCTTCCTTGAGTATCCTCAATAAACATACTGGAAAATTGTTATCGCAGAATGCGTAACGGAAAAAATAAAAAATATTGCTGAACTTTATTGCTAAAGTAACTAGGCTGATTTTTGTCACGTGCGAAAATCTACTGAGCACCTTAACAGCTGCTCATGATCTACAAAACACAGATACGGCCAGTTTCAGATTACTGTTCTCATGAATGGGGTTCAGACCGGAACATACGCTGACGCTATTGGAATCCATTCAGAGAAGAGCCATTCGCCTGGTGGGTGATGCCACACTCACTCACCCTCTTACCCCATTAGAATACCGTCGAAAAGTCAGCGACCTTCCGCCTTTATATTGATACTTCTACGTAAAAAGTTTCTAAGAAATCTCTGGCGATACCAGTCAGACAAACTTGACAGGCCCAGTCAGCACATCCCTTCGTCGTTAACTTTCAAAAATGTCGAACAAAACTCCATCAAAACACGTACGTCTCTTGAACGATGGAGCTCTGTGTGTCTTTGTCATTGGAAGTATTCCCAAGAACTTATAATCTCCAGAAGTTGAAAGAAACCAACACATACCTCTTCTCCCTATTTTCCCTAGCTATGCACGATGTTCCATGAACATCATAAGAATTTCCTTTCGTGCGCTTCAAAAGATGAATAAAAGGTGTGGTGATTAGGAGAGAAAATCTGAATTATAGAGGGTGTCCCAGAACAACCAATAAAAAACTTCACAGGGTGACTTTGAGGTCAGAATAGGTTGATTAAAATGGAGATGCCTCTATACAAAAATGCTCCTTTCAGTCATGGGAGGGTGATTTTATTTTCATATTGAAATACTTATAACATATTCCTTGAAAAGCACTGCTTCGGAATACACAGAGCAATTTACTAATATCGCATAAATGTGCATGAAAGACAGGTCATTGCATAGCAATTCAAACAATGAACAGAAAAAATCGCATTATCATTGCATTGCAGAATCAACTTTTTTTTAGTACGCCAGAGGCCACATTCTCCAATGAATGACGAAATCAGTTATCTCACTTTTTTCTTCTTCCTTTTCTCTTTATTCTGCTTCGTTTTCGAGATCATCAAGACAATAAATATTTCTGGTGCTTCTTTATATTCAATTAATATCATGAATTGAGGATTTCTGCCTCATTTATGTTGAGTTATCAAACACAATGAAATTGTTCATCTAATTTCGCAAGCTCTCTGAATTTTTTCTCGTTGAAAACTTCAATCAAATGTAAAGTACATTGTTAGCATCACTGTTTTTATTATAACATTATAATTGAATGAAGACGGACCAACATAGTATCTTCTGTTTCCGTTTCTGTTTCAAACACCCTGAATATAATATTATATCATTCAATACTCACATATGAATTATGTTCGTATTCTTCTTCAAAATCCACTTGTAGTACCAACATCTTGACTCTCTCTATTTTTATGTTATTTCCTCTTATTGCCTTAGAAACACAACTGTACAATCCTTCTTCTTGTTGTGATACACTCTGAAACATACAGAACTATCAAGATATGTGAAGTAACAAAATCTTCTATCTCAATACCCGCAAACTTCACAAAATAAAGACCATCTCCAGGGGTGCGTTCGAATACAGTATGTACATACTTCGTGAAGTAAAGTTCACTTATTTGCGTTCAGAATTTGTCAGATTGTGTATGGTATATTTCACTTTATGACTGTCGTTCTAAATTGCTGGAGTTTTGGAGTTCGTGTTAACATTTGTAACTCCTCAAGATAGGTGAGTTAATTTTACTCCGCACTAATTTAAGACAAACATGGATGAAAAAGAGGGTTTTGTTTGTTTCAATTCAGGGTAGGCCAATTTGGATGCAGTTTGTGATTGTTTCGATACTCTCATACACTCGAAGAAATAGTATGGGTTGAATTGACAAGAAAATGTGTTTGATCAACAACATCATTATAATTGTTGAATAGAACTACAATGATCGTCAAAACAATCGAGGAAAAATTGTACATAAACGAATTCAACGTCAACCAAAAATATTATTTGATTAAGATAATATTTTTGTAGTATAACCAATAATTTGAAAAAATTAGTCGAATCGAACTAGGAATAGTATTTCAACAACATTATAACTGTAACTGAAATTATCATAATAGCTCGCTCACTGTTATATTTGGTGGACAAACGAATAGGAAGTTATAATCAACATATAAGTATTTAAAATAAAACTGAAGATAGTATTTCAACTATATTATATTGTAACTGGAATATCATTACAGCTTGATCACTGTTTAAGTTGGTAATGAAACGAAAAGGAAGGTAAAAACCACCTGCAACCTGCAACTATTTCAAATCACTCAAAAGATAGTATTTAAACTATATCATGTTGTTTAACTAATATATTATTACAGTTCGTTCACTGTCATAGTTGGAAGACAAACGAACAGTAGGTTAAAATCAACCAACCTTCTTATTGAAGAGTTGATAATGAGCTTGTGATCTTCCCATTGGTATTTGCAGGGTGACAGCGTCCACATGAGATTTTGTTGCTGGCGTCGTGTTGTGTTCTTTGTGTTGTGGCCTTTATATTATTTTGATATTATCATTTCACGTTACGGAGTGATTTTGGTAAGTTGATTATGTGATCACTGTATTCAATATCGAGTTGTAATTTAGTAATGAATTTGGTAATGATTCAACACACTGTATGAATTTATTGCTGAAGTTCGTCTCTTTTTCTCAGGACTCTCTTCAATTTTTGGATCATTTAGTACAGACGAAGTGGATATATCCCCAGGGAGGTTGTATATGACGAGTACCAGAACCATACAAGGGGATTGAGAAAATTTTGAAATTTCTGGTCAAGGAGTACCACTGATGTAGTCTTCCCTATTGATAATCATGATGGGGAAAGTTCATCAGATGATCGTAATTATGTGATGGTGAGTATTATTCATGAATTCAATCAATTCATATTTCGATTCTACACATTTCTTGCAGGGAGAAGATGATAAACTGTGGTAGCAATTAAACATCGTCCATTGAGTGTCATAAAGGAAAAATGGGAAAGTACATTCAAATAACGGAGACAAGAAATTACAAATGAAGAGAATGTAGATATTTTGTGAAGTTGACCACCATGTAATGATTGAACTTGATGTTTATTCGAAATCTGTATTAATTCAATGGTACAAGAACCTGAAAAATAGTCAATATACCTATATCTACTATGCACTTTGTTGGTGAACCAAATATTATGGCTATCAATACAAAATATAAGTGAAAGGGACAAAACTTATGGTTAACATACCACTCATTTTGTTGTGAGAATAAAATCTGGTTGATAACCAATTTTCTTGATCAAAACAACTATTCCATTTGTATGGTGACACTAAACATATTCAACTATTGTTCGCTACATCATATTTTGAAAAAAATAGAATATAATTTAAAAGTGACAATGAGGTTCTGTTGAGGACGACTTATCTGATTAGAAAATATTCAATTATTGATTCAATCATGATTATGTTCATTGAGGTTTATTGAGTCATAACTATTGGGACATATGGCGACAGGACCATATATATGCCGATAAAATATTGCTGTGGAAGAAGATACAGTGCGTCTCAATCGAATACGTTTTGAATAATAGGATAATAGGAACTCGCATCAAAAACATTTCACTGACAAGAAATGTAATCGAGCAATAACGATTATCTGATAATCCGAAGCAAACTCAACAAAAATAAGATAATATTTGAAATCTTGTTCTGAGACTTATTTGAAAGATTTGCGATTGCATTTTCTTCGGAAACGAATGGAAACATCGTGTTCAAACGAGAGATCCAATATTACATAGAAATGATGTTTATGTCATAGTTTCTGATCAAAATCATTAAAAACTTTCGTCATATGAAGTTATACGGTTTCATTATCAGAAATCATTCACGTGGCGCCCTCTGTGACAAACTGTTGAATAATACATACAATGATATTCCCTGTATGAAATTATGTCTCTGCGCCAATTTTGATAACAATTGATAAATATATACAGTAATATTATTAGCAAATAACGAAAACAAATATTCAACTTCAACGCACTGTATATTTTTTCACAGCAAAATTCCATTGAGGTATATTAGGTCATATATACATACAATGTATTCATTTATATCGGTCAGACAGGTTGTACGTGTAATCAACGCATTCATGAACATAAGGTGAATTTTATGAAAAAGGAAACTTTATCATACGACAACCATATATTATGAGAATACCATAATTTCAATGATAATTCAGAAATTCTACATGAAGCAAATGAAGGAATGAAACTGAATCATTTCGAATCATGAGAAATCAACAAACTCTAGAATTCTTGAACATTTAACATTTTACTTGAAAATCAACTAGACCTCAATAGTTCACCACTGTTGAATTCGTTTTCCTAGTAGGTAATGATATATGTATTTGCTATATCAATCCTTTCAAGTTTATACAGTACACTGTATTCTAATGTAGATATTGTGTATATGTTCCGAAAATGGAGGTTTATCGAACCTGTCTACTGGTAATTCTACACGGAAAAAAAAGTTTTGTTGCTCCAACAAAATAATTTTGGTCATTGTTTCTTTGTTAAATAAAACACAATTTTGCGAAATCAACAAGATATATGATCATTCCAAATGAGCAAACAATTCAAAGAGACAAAATAATTCGATTGAAATATTTGCTTACTTGTTTTGTTCAAGTAAGCAAATATTTGACAGTTGACATAAAACATATTTTGTTGATCCAACTATTATCTCATTGTTCAATCAATCATATGCATTTTGTATATTCGACAAAATTGAATTAATTTCGACAAAGATTCAACTTGATACGACATCTTATTTTGTTCAGTCAACAATCATTTCATTGTACAGCCAATCAGGGGTTTTTTTCTATTCGACAAAATTGAATCGATCATAAAAACATTATATTTTGTTGATTTAACACATCAATATCAAGAAATATGTTGTTATTCCAAACAAATTACTTTCTAGAACAGAACCCACGAATACATCATATCGAACAAATATTTTGTTGAATGATTATCTAGTTGCATTTTTGCCACCAGGTGGCGTTTCTTCCAACCTTCATACGCTCGCCTCGATTGGGGTATTCATATACCTACCTAAAACATCCGTTTATATAATTATATACGGCTGTTTCAGAATTTCTTATGACGCTTATGAAAGCTGATTGTCTCGAATCAACTGAGAAACTCTTAGTTTCGAAATTCGCCCATTGGATTTCTCTAAATATTATTCAGCAGAATATTTCGTCAATAATTGAATTATTCTAAATACAATTTGATCGAAGAATAAATATTGTTATTTCAACATATTCACTCTGAAAAACTGGAACTTTTGTCACTTGAATGAAATGAAAGGATCATTCCAATCAACAGAATCGTCTTTGTTTATTCAACCAGTTCCTGCTGTTAATTCGAATCATTAATGGGTTACATCAAATGGATTTTGAATTGAAAACGGACGAGAAACATTTGTTGCGGTGACGAAATATTTTGTCGTGGATATGATACTCAAATTTTGTTGAATTTACAAAAATTTTGTAGTTTCAAACAATTTTTTTTTCTGTGTAATCCTCCAGGATAGGAAAGTTGGATATAAAAAAGTTAGGCATGCCAAGGCTAGTTTTGTTCATTGTATGATGATATTGATGAAGCTACTGTGTGATTGAAAATTTTGTGTAAATCTTATCGTTTGTGAAGTTTTTTACATATCATGCGATGCCAAAAATTGCAAATGCATCATGTGATTCCTTCTAAATACAGGATAAGAATATCGAAATAAGGTTCGAGTTCTTGAACATGAACGCCTGAAACAATACTTTGCAATTATCTAGAGATATATTGATCAAATCGTTCGACTACTATGTCGAAACTTGCACTATCTTGAATGATGAATATAATCATAGTAGGAATGAGTTATCGATGCAAATATTTGCTAGATCTTAAAACGTATAAGCCATCATTTCAAAATTTCAATGCTCGCCTAATTTTATTGGGTGTGATTCCAGAATAGATATATGAATATTACACATTCATTGATATCATAAATCCATCATAACCTATATTCACTCATTTATAAGAAATCAGAAGAAATAATTCAAGGGCTGGGAAGCTTGAATTCAAAATCGATTTATTGCCTCATTATTTGATTCAACTCGAACAGAAATGAAACTCACCACTACTGTTAGATTTCCTGACAAAACTTCATATTTATATCTCGTATTGTCGTAGTCCTCATTCGATGGTCCTATGATATCGGCACCGTTATTCACTAACCAATAATCGAAATTGTAATCACCAATGTTGCTCCTACATTTCAGTACAACTGTTTCTCCAAAAGGAACTTCTTCAAGCATAACTCCATTCCTAGACAAAACTCCAGCTGCCTCACTGGTTAACTCTTGTAGTGTAAATAACAATACTGATTGCAAAAAATATATAAAGTTCGACTTGCACTTCATGTAGATTAATCCTGGCTCAACTTTCTCTTGCAATCAAGGAAATAATTGATTCTTTTGTCTCTGAAGGGTTTCAATATACTAGTTGCTAAATCATTCCGAAATCTAATATATTTTTAGACGGTCTCGAACACGTAACGTGTTTTGCATTTTTCAGATGCAAATATATTTAGAAATAAATCGTCACTGACAACTTGAAGTGCCAACATATTCGAAAACAGAAAGTGAAGGACCCAGAATTGTTTCACATAAAAAGGAACTGCAATCTATTTTATGATATTGAGTTCTTCATTGAAATTTACTTCTAAAAGAGGGTGTGTTGAATTATTGAAAATTGAAAAATCATGCATGTTTATCATTGATTTTACTAATTGTCGAATCTAAGAAATTGATTGAATTTCTGTGTCTATTTCCATTATGAATTCTATGTTTGGATGAAGAATATCAATATAATATAATAAAGGTAATAATATATGATGTGACAATATAATTTTGAATCATTAAAAATCAACAAACTCAAAAATTCTAAAATTCAACTCAACGATCAACTAGGTCAATCTACTGGCGAATTTGTTTTCTAAGTAGGTAATGATATGTATTTGCGATCAACTCTATCAAGTAAATTCGATAATGAAGGTTTATCGAACTTTTCCACAGGTAATTCTAACCCTTCGGGTTGAGCAAGTAGGATAAATATTGGACTGTATTTTTACTATATCACTATTTTTATGAACAGTGCCAAGGTCTCTCCGTTATCCACGACTCTCCCCGTTCAATTTTCTTTTCATGAGCAACTAGATCTCCTTGAGTGGAATTTTGAATGAAAAACACCTGGACTATCTTATTTTTTTGGTCTCTTTATTTTTTCCAATAGTGCCATCCGATAGACGAATCGATTCTTTCTAGGATTCAAATCAAATCTATTTATTTTATTAACACCCTTTCATAATGGTCGTGGATGAATTTTGTTATTGACCAGTTGTAGAGAAAACGATTCCACAGGTTGGATATAGCTTTCAAGAGCATGTTTTCTAGAACGAGTGTTAGAAAACAATTCTCTTTCGGAATTTACAATATTCCATAGGTAGGAATGTCGTAAACCGTGAGAGAAACAGGGTCGGTTGGATTATGGTAATTTTGCGCAATAATTCAATGCCTAATAAAATATCGTTGTCTAATTTGGATCCCAAATACTTTCGGAGATATACGAAGAACTCCAAAATTTCCTGAAACCCCTAAAATTGTTTCTTCAAGTTTCGTATCAAATGGGAATATCATACAGAAAATGTCAATTTCTGTGAACGAATCATTCGAAATTGAGAATTTGTGATAGCTTATAGAATTGAGATATCCTAAGGTGTGAGAAAATCAAATAAAAAATCCAAGTCCACAATAGAATAATAGCAGAAAAGAGTGGGAAAAGTAGTTGTTTTCTGTTGAATTGATCGAGAAAGAATTCATATTTTCATCAGTTGGAGGATGCAAATTTTCATTGAATTTCTTAATATATCTATGCGTACAGAGTGGCCAACTAAGACTCCAGAGTTCGATTTCTCTGTTGTCTTGAGAGATACAAAAAAAAATCATGAATCAAAATTGAAGTAATAACCGAGCTTCACATTTCAAAATTTCTTTGAAATACACAGGGTGTTCCTTACGGTCACAGCACATCAAAGCTATGTTTTTTTCATCGGAACAACCTATATTTTATTCCATTTTTGAATTCTCCCTGAAGATCTGATTTCAACGACATATCATACTTAGGGTTTAGCAGTGAGAGTTACTGACATATAGGGTGTGCAAAATCGAGATTTTCCAAGTTCAGGATTTTTTTCTGTCGAAACTGTTCATTATTCGTCTAAACGGTTTACATGTCCCTATCTCAACTTTTCACTCACTATCATTTGGTGTTCAATTGAAATTGATACAAGGTGGTCAAAAAAATCTTAATTTTTAATTTGTTTCAATTGAATGTCAATTGAACACCAATAGTGAGTGAAAAGTTGAGATAGGGACATGTAAATCGTTTTGACGAATAATAAACAGTTTCGACAGACTATATGTCAGTAACTTTCAGTGCTAGACCCTGAGTATGATACGTCGTTGAAATCAGATCATCACGGAAAATTCAAAAATGAAATAAAATATAGGGTGTTCCGATGAAAAAAACATAGCTTTGATGTGCTGTGACCGTACGGAACACTGTGTGTATTTCAACGAAATTTTGAAATGTGAAGCTCGGTTATTACTTCAATTTTGAATCATGAATTTTTTCTGTATCTCTCAATACAACAGAGGTATCAAACTCTGAATTCTTAGTTGGCCACCCTGTACTAACATATCAATTCTTTTCATGTTCAAGGGGTTCAAATTCGAACGATGGAAATCTGTTTTCACAGACCTCTATATATACACAGAATTGTCATTGATGAGTTCTCTCAATTCAGAATTTCTTTTCACGACCTTTTCGATGAATATCATTCATCATATACATTATAAACAATTCCCACTTACAACATTAATATTTCTCATTATAGACATGAAAATTATAAAGAATGGCAAACAGAAAACTTGGACTACAGGTAACTAAAGAGGGTTTTATATCCGAAATGAGTTCATTCGAATAAAGTCTTTCAATCACATCAATGATACGAATGATTTTTGGAAACTTCAGCTCATCAAGATCCGTGCAAGTATACTTCTCCTATACAGTTCAATTTTCATTTTGATACTGAATAGGTATTTTGGTAAGTTATATTTTCATATCATTCAACATAATAATATAATCAATAATGTCAGAAGATTTCTATTTCCATATCCTCAAATTGTTCATCAAATGTATTTCAATGTTCGACGAGGCAAATATGCAGGAAATAAGTTGTTTCATGTTGAATATACCGAGAAAAAATTCATATTTTCGTCAGATGGAGAATGCTAATTCTCAACGTATTTCTAAATATGTATCTCAATCAAATTGTCAATATGAAATCTTCAACGTGTAGGGAAGAAGAAGTGGCCTTGATCAATTGTCATCCCTTTCGAATGATTTCTTTAATTGACTTGGAAAACAGGAGGAATTAAGGAATTTAGGTTGATTTTTCGTTCTCTCAGAAACTATCCAGAATTTTTCGAGTTCCAAAACGGTATTTTGTTAACCGACCCTGTATCTCAATCGGTCTATAATGGGGGCTTGAACTCCAGCCACTTTATATATACCTACTCAGTTCACACTTTTGATTTCCTTAAGGTAGCTGGAAAGAAATTTCAGGTTCAATGATACGAAACGAAATGATACACATTGTTTTCTAATAAATTATTTCCATGAAAAATAACATACACATAAAATATATTATTCTCATCATAGCGTAATATCATATTTTGTCATCATATAAACTCAATGTTAGAATATTCATTCTTCAGTCATTTCAAACTCTGAACCAGTTGTTACAAAACTAGGAGAAACAGCTTCATTTCCCCCACCATCAATTTTGTTCAAGGTTGATCATTCGAAATTCCATTTTCTGCTAACTGCATAGCTCTCTGTTTTTTATTTCGTTCATGTATGTTGTCAGCTCATCTTCAATATCACCAAGTTCTGCTTCTTTCAGGCTCGTGTTGCTTATGCGAGTTTTTTGGATGTCCGTACACCTGCAATGATATGAATTCTTTGAGAGTTGAAATATACAGGGTGATTCATTGAGAATGGGCAATCTCTGAACTACAGATAATGAACACAAAAATATGAAGATTCAACTCAACACCCAGTGCTAGTAATATGGATCTCATCCAGTATATAACAACAAAGTATTTTCAATGAATCATATTCGACAACACTCATTATATAGACTATCAAAATGATATCTTGTCAATCAATGTCATCACATATTTTGTTAATATAGTTCAGTTGTTAATAATAAACAAGACGAATATAAAAAACGATAAATGAGGAATTATTATTAATTCATATAAAAATAATACGATAAATATACAAATAGCCAACAGGTTATGGGCCCAGAGGCATAGAGAGTTAGTAAATATAAAGATCAAGAATAAATATCAATAAAGAAGACAACAAAAAAATCAAGAAATGACGTCCAAAGAAGAAATTGACTCTGTTCCTAAACTAACCGATGCCGCTTCATTTCCATTGTGGGAATTTGAAATAAAGATACTGTTTGCAGCTAAACAACTAATGAAAATAGTGGATGGTACTACTACTTATGATTCATGTGAAAATGATGAGAAGAAACAAAACGAATGGAATACCAAAGATGCATGTGCTAAATATACAATTCTCAGGACTATCGGATCGAGTGTCAAGTCACATATACTGACATGTCAAAATTCCAAAGAGATGTTCGATACCCTAGTAAAAGTATACAAAAGGGACACTGATCAAACGAAAAATCAACTACTAGCTGAATTCTTCAACACCAAGTTCGATAGATCATCAGATATCATGGCGAATATAGCACACATTCAAAATTTGTGCTTCAGATTGAATAATCTCGACATGAAAATCAGTGATGACATGCTAATCACCAAAATACTGCTCAGTTTACCGGAACAGTTCAAGAATTTCAGTACTGCTTGGGATTCAACTCCAGTTACTGAAAGAACTCTAGAAAACCTGAGAGCAAGACTGTTAAAGGAAGAAGAAAAACAGAATAGCCCCAAGGATGACCACAAGGTAGCATATAAAGCTGTGTTCAAGAACAAAATAAGCACCAAAGTTACTTGTTACAATTGTGGTAAGCCAGGACATTACAAAACGGATTGCAGAAGCAATACAAAGACACAAAATCACCATCAAAAGGCATCAACTTCAAAACAATGTCAAAAATGCCAGAAATCAGGACACAATACAGAAGATTGCTATACAGGACATGTTTTTTCTCCCTGCAAATATTGCAAGAAAACAAATCATCCCGAAAATAAGTGTCGCTACAGAACTGATCATGAAAATGATAATAGAGGGAACAGAAATATCAACAACAAAGTCACCTTTCTCGCCGAAACACATTTTTCTGCAAATGAAGAATATAAAGAAATTGATACCGAATTTGTTTGTGACAGTGGCTGTACAGGGCATTTAACGTACGAAGAAGAAATTATGCAAAATATTCAAGAAGTTGAAGAAAATCATAT